CCGCACGCGGTGCGGCCCATGACATCCTGGAAAGCAAAAAACAGCTCCGCAAAGGCAGACACAGGGTCGAGGGCATCACGGGATTTCGCCAGGGAAGAGTTCTGTCTCTGCCTGCGTAGACGAATCAGATCTTTCGCCCCCTTGAGATGAATAGTCCAGCGTTGATCGCAGTTGTCGACGATCTCATAGAGACACAACATCATCATAATGGCTAGCACCTCAGGGTCCTCGGAGCATATTACGGGACCTTCCGCTACAAGCCGGTGACGCAGGCCCCGCAATGCTTGTGCTTTAAGCCGAAGCCCGATGACACTGTACATAGAATCAAAGCGCGACCAATGGCAGGCCCCAAGGGCTTGTATCGCGGTAAACATGAGCGGAGAGGCGGACAAGCAGAAAGGCAGAATGATCGACGCAAAAGGCGATGAGAGTCTGGAGCTTGCGGTGGTCCGAGGACACACCTGTTGAAGATAGTAGTCAAAGAGAAATCGGTCCTCGGATGCAGACATGGGAGGAAACAACGACAACGAGGGAGTCAATCGGACAGACTCCAGCATGCTCCCTGAAAGCGGCGAATCGAGACTGGTTTCACCGACATAGCGTGGAAAGTAGTGATAGCTCTTGTCGCGAACGACCAGGGCGTTCAACTCGTCGCATCCAACGTCGACTTCGTACGGCTGATCAAATGTCGCGACCCCGCTATTGACAAAGCCCCACGATTCTATAAGCGGGACAGGGCACCACTCCTGATCGTCGATGAAGATAGAGGGCGATGCCCCGGGCGACGGCTTTGGGGAAGGCCCACCGGTAGCGCGGGCCTTACTCCAGACGCCGGCTCGGCCAAAGGCAAGGCCACGGCTCACAAATTCGGATTCCCACTTGAGGACTAGTTGTGTTGTACAGACCAAGCCTTTCTCCAAGCACCGAGTGCATGTGGGCTTCTTCGTGTCGCAGCGAACTCGACTCGCGCGGCATTCCTTACAGCCGCCACGACTTCGGGTCTTGACCGGACCCACGCGGTCTGCAGCCTTCTTGCGCGGCATCCGACCGGTGATCCTTTTACATGGCCGGATAGTTAGATTCTGAGGGTCTCAAAGAGCCAAGAAGCGGCTGATTGACCCGAGCAAGTTTCGCCAGGCAGTAGGATAAGCAATTTTGATGTCGCTTGTTGTGGCAATACCGGGGACAGTAGATGTCTTCAGGAAAAGTTTTGGAGGGGCAACCAGCTGTGCTGCGACGGGCCAATCGAATCTGCGGGTAGAACCGAAATGATTGGCCTGGCTAAATCACTGGATAAGAGCTTTTGTTGGTGCTATTTGACCTTTAATCAGCGAGGTGAGGGGAAGACAAGACGAGGCTTATCGAAATGCTCGTCCGAGTCATCGCCGGGTCGATAAGAGCGGATCCACGGAAGCTACCTTATCCCGTTCCGCTCGCTGCCTGAAACCACAGGCATGAATAAAGTGCAATGAAGCTGAGGTTCAGTAAGGGTGTGATGCTTGTCCGTGGTTTACTTTGAAGGACACATATACGAAAGCCACATTGACCTGGCACGAACTGTGACGACAGAGGTTACTGCTTATATTGTATATTGATAGACACACATAGCCTTTTGATGGTTGGTATCGACAGCCGCAATGCTGGCTTTCAGTGGCCACGTGCGACCCTCCGGCGGTTATCGCGCTAGACCTCCGTGTTGACATCGGGGAGCTGTCCATGATCTAATCATCAGGCAGTTGCATTCATCCCAACTGCACGCTGGCGAGCATATCGTTTCTTGTTCACCCCTCAATCTACTAGCTCCCTGCAACCTAGCTTCACACCTCATATAATAATTGCCTAGCCCCCATGGCCTCCACTGTTGACATCGCATCCTCTTTCATTGAGGGTGCCCCGCCTGGAGAGGTAGGTCAATACCTAGTCCACGAGAGTTCAATCCAAAGGCTATGGTGAACCTGCTCAAGCTAACGTCGAACTCAAATAGCTTGCAGATGTTGTCGCAGGTACGCCCAGTCCTTGCTGCATCCCGTTCCTACTCTCGTCACTTCCCCCGTCGTCGCCCCGCATCTCACTCCCCACGGCAACCAGCCCAGAACTGAACGAGAACAGATGTCAAGTCCCTGACCTCCGACGGCCCCGATATTATTCCCTCTCTAGCCCCGGCCTTCGAGCGCTACAATGAGACACAATTGGCGACCGTGAAGCTTCCAGGCGCCAGTCAGGAGGTGCGGTTGCGTCGGTGATACCCCTGAACGGAGTACGATCTGACAGCGTGCTCACAGGTCTTGATCTCCGAATATAACAAGCTGGAAGGAAACCGATACTTTGATGTGGAGAGTCAGACGTCTTTCGAAGTGGACCATGTCACCCAGGTTGGTTACTGCATCGTGCGTGGTGGGGTGGCCTGGCGGCTGAACTTGTGGTATCATTGTAGGAAGCCTCCGCTGCGCAATCATATGTTCTCGAGTCGCAGAACGCCGACTTGATGTGAGTTCGAGCTGCATCTTCCATCTTGTTGTTCGGAGTGCAGCGTTAACCCGTCGCGACTCAGCAAATCTCTCCTCAAGTCTCTCGGCGCTCACGCCCTCGAACACTACCGGGATTGCTCGTACGGAGTCTACCCCATTGAGGAGGATAGCGCCGTTGCTATCGTCCTCGTCGCCAACCGCTACTCCCCTAACAACTTCTGGTGAGATTTATTTGAACTGCCCGACCGCCAACACCCGCGTTCTAACCGGATATACCAGGAACGGTCGCTTCCGCTCCATCTACACTGTTCCCGTCTCGTCGGAGTCGACCACGATCTCGGGTAAGATTCAGGTGGATGTGCATTACTATGAGGACGGAAACGTGGCGCTCAACACGACCAAGCCGATCAGCCTGTCCGTGACGTCTTTGGATGCGGGAGCCATCGTCTCGCGCATTGCCGGAGCCGAGCGGGACTACCAAGAAGAACTGAACCGGGCTTTCGTACAAATGGCCGAGGGCTCGTTCAAGGGACTGCGCAGACAGTTGCCCATTACACGGCAGAAGGTCGAGTGGGAGAAGGTTGGCGGATACCGCCTGGGACAGGACATCTCTGGCGGAAAGGGACGGTAGTTCCAGTGTGAGCTTATTACCAGCGTTCTTGTGTGTAGCGGGTGACTAGTTTTGTTAGTTCATCAATGGGGCCAGTAAATATTCGGTGGAATGCGATCATGCGAGGAATGTAGATAAGCGGGATGCGCGATCCCGATATCGCCATTGATTAGCCTTGCAGACGCCGTGAGTAGCTAAATCCGCTAACGCGTATCTGATATGGGTGAACAGTGCCGATTGCACGTTTTCTTTCATCACTTCTTGATGAACGTCTGTAAATAAGTTCGCCACTCACTCCCTCCTTCCATCCATCCCATTATTTATTAGAATAATAATCTTAATCATAATTTCACCCGTGCACCACCAGCCCATCCACCCAAATGCTCGACCGCCTCTCGCGCTTCTACCGCCTCAACACAGGCTACGAAAAGACCCTCCGTCTCATCCAGGCATTATGCCTCGTGGCACTAGAGATCGGCTCTCTGGACAGCACCACGGCCAAACGAGTATCAGCCGCTAAATCCCAACTAGCATTGAGTTCGTTTTCTTGCCCCCCCCGCCTCCCCTTGCCCCTCTTCCCAACCTTTATCTCCTCACAAAATTCAGGATCGAATTGAAGAACCACAACAAATACTAACCTGTGATACCATACTGTAGTCCGCCGTTGCATCCGCTTCTGGAATTTCCTGGACTGCTTCAACCGCGTCTCCTCGCTCCTGGGGCAAGACGTCCCAAATCCCCGCAAGAAGAGCCACGCTGCCGCTGCATCGCCCACGGGCTTCTTGTGGTGGCTCGAGGTCGCCAAGTGGAGTTGCTTCGGGGTGTATTTCCTCCTCGAGGATTTGACCTTGGTGAGCTGCCTTTCAACCCCCCCTGTTGTGTATTTCTCTTGCTGAGCTTCGCCCTTCTGAACCCTGATTGGAGCTCGTGTCATGGAGGAGTGGTGTTTTTCTTTGTTGTCTCGGGAGCTGCTCAGGCTTGACACCCCAGATTCCCATGCCCTACGCACTATTCATCGCCTCACCTCAGCGCGCTCCCCCCCCTCCGAGATGATCCCCTCCGGAGTTGAATATGGATAAACTAACACAACGCCCAAAAGCTCCACGCCGCGGAAATCTACCCCGTCTCGTGGGCGAAAACGGTGACTGTCGAGGCGTTCAAGTTCTGGTACTATGCGCTGGCGCTGTCACTCATCGGAACGGGCTGGGAGTGGTATTCCGGGGTCGGTGCTGGGTCTGGGGGGAAGGGGGTGAAGAAGGCTGGGGGGAAGCGGGGTGGTGTTGGTGCTGGTGCTGCTGGTGAGGCGAAGGGGAGGGCTGGAGCTACTGCGAGTCGAGTTGATAGGTCCACGCTGCTCAAGAGGGTGGTTGCTGATGGGTGCGATTTGCTGATTCCGGGGACTTATCTTGGGTGGATAGGGGGTGGGCCGTTGGGGGTTGGGGTGGGGATGGTGGTTAGTACGGTTGTGTCGTTGCGGGAGATTTGGAGGAGTGTTTAGGTTGGGTGGGTGTTTGGTTGTTCTAGGTTGGGGTGGTGGTGTGAGGGTTTGGGGTGTGGAGAGGTGGTGGGGGAATGGAGGTTGTTGTACTGTATATAGCATTTTGATACTAGGTAGATGTATATGCTGCTGCATTTAGAGGGTGAGTTGGAATAGATCACTGCTTTCAGTTGGTATGAATTTCATCCGTTGTCGCCATACCATTCTCTAGAGGAGAGCTGCACTTACCAGATGGTCGAGCCGACGATCGGCTACTTCGACTACTCCTACTCCAGGCTCGATGATAACATCCGAAACATCATCCATATCTATTCCCCAATCTATCGAACTCTATCTATCTCTATCACCCCCCCCCAAAAAAAACCACCCATCCCATCCCTTCTCTAATTCTTAATTTTACCCCCTCTCCCTCCCTTGCCCAACTCTAAACAGATCCGCCCTCCCTCTCCCTCACCATCTCCTCAATATACGGATTCAACCAATACTCCCTCAACACCGCGGCATCCATCCTCTTCGCCCCATCGATAACGCCCCGACACCGCGCCCCAGCCCCACACGTGCACTGGAACGGCTGGTCCATCTCCCACTCCGACTGGGGGTAGAAGAAGGTCAGGGGGTCGCCGGCCTGCAGGTCGCGGTCCGCCACGACGCGCACCTCCATACGGTGCATGTCGAAGTCCACCGTCGGCGCGCACGAGTGGTTGCAGTAGACGAGGTCGGAGTTGAGCTCGATGTGCGCGTCGCGCCCCGTCTGCACGGAGGTGTACGCTTTCCGGGCCGGGGTGGTGCCGGTGATCTTGCAGAAGAGGGAGCCCGCCGGGAGCGAGACGAGGGAGTAGGCGCCGCTGGCGAAGGGGATGGGGCTGCGGTGGACGTGGATCAGGGTTGGGTGCGTGGGTGGGGGTGCGGTGGGTTGGTCCCTCGTTGTCGTGGTGGTGGTGGTGGACATTGTTGGGTTGGCCTGGATTGGTTTTTAGGTGGGAAGGGAGGGTAAGTGGGTAGGGTGTAGTAGCTGAGGAATTCTATGCAAATGCAAGGATAATAGGAAATATCCGTTGAGAGAGGTCATTGTGACGGCTCTTGGAGCAGAAAGGTCTACATTATATGGGCGCGGGGTATAGTGGGGAAAGGAAAGATGTTTGGGGGAGGGGGGGGGGAAGGAATGGGAATCCGCGGGAACGACCGAGGTTCAATTCCACGGCCTTACGTCCGGGTCTGGTCATGGGTCGGTTGATGACTCCATCACGTAATAGCGGCAGGTGGAATTGGATTTACCTAGGTAATTTTTGAAGACAGGCTGGAGACGGTGTCATCATCAGATGTCTAAGAACCTCTTAGGCTGTTTGCGATAGATAGAATGGAAAACTAGTTCAGCCGGACGGTCATTTCCTGGCCATTCAACCACCGCTCCAGATTGTCCGCGACCTCCTGGTACCAGCCGTGGATCTGCTCATCCGCGTAGCCCGTGTGTGGCGTCAGCAGGACCTCACTGCGGCCATCGGTGCCCCAAGCCGTGGTGCGCCAGGGACTGTCCGCCGGCAGCGGTTCGGGCTCGAAGACATCCAGCGCGGCGCCCGCGATCGCGCCGCTGTTCAGCGTCTCCAGCAACGCCGCCTCGTCCACCAACGGACCTCGGGACGTGTTGACCAGCAGCGCCGTCTGCTTCATCGCCGCCAGCTCCTCCCGACCCACAATGCCCCGACTACGCTCCGACAGCACGCTATGCACGCTCACCACGTCGGCCGCCCGGAAGAAGGCCAGCTTGTCGGACACCGCCCGAAAGCTCCCCGCCGGTAAGCCCATCGCCTTGGCCTGCTCGTCCGCCTTCTCCTGCGTCAGGTTCGTCGACCACGCAATCACCTCGAGCCCAAACCCCTGCACCGCGATCCTCCCCACCTGAGCCCCCAATTTCCCCAACCCCAGCAGTCCCAATGTCTTCCCCGCCAGCGTCATCCCCAGCGACCCCTGCCACTCGCCGCGCTTGATCGCCGCATCGTCGCGCGCGACGTGGCGCGCCGCGTTCAGGATCAGCGCCCAGGTGTGCTGCACGGTGGAGTTCAGCCCCGCGGGCCGGGTCTGCGTGCCGCCGACGGGGATCCCCCGCTCGCCGCAGTACTGGCTGTCGATCGCGAGGTTGCGCGTGCCGGTCGTGAGGAGCAGTTTCAGGTTCGGGAGCGCGGAGAGCGTGTCCTTGGAGAAGGGGGTGCGTTCGCGCTGGGAGACGATGATGTCGAACGGTCGGAGGCGCTCGATGAGTCGCTGCTGCTGGTCGGCGAGGCGGGGGTTCAGCGTGTCGGGGAAGTAGCTGAACTCCACGCGGGAGGTGAGGTGCTCGAAGTGGCGCGGGCTGATGTTTTGGTAGTCGTCGAGGACTGCGACTTTGGGTGCCATGTTGATGAAGCGCGTAGGTAAATTCACGGAAAAGGAACGGGATAGAATGCTTGGTTGCATTGGTGTTGATGGAGGGAGATGCAGAATCGTGTTTGGGGTGAGGGACATTTCCACCCGGGGGAGGAAATACCCGGCTCACCCCGCGGTCTCGTCATTTGTTCCCCGCATTTTGCATTTGGTGTAGAGTAGAGTGCGCAGACTACTATATACGCTTCGTAGCAATTCACTTCACAGCCTGGGAAGGAACCAATTGTTATCGAGATTTATGATGGGTGAATTATACATAAGGTACACCGAGGCGAGAGGTCCTGTACGAGATCGCAAGCTTGAGCTGTAAACTCGCACCGCCGCAAGAAGCTCCATATCGCTATCCAGAAAACAGTACGGTGGAGTATCTTATCCAATTATCCTGTTCGGTGTTCGTATGAGTATATAAGCCAAGATGCCTCAATGTAGCTTTTCATGTTATCAGAAATATATCGCAAACATAGGATGGATTAAAAATGCTCGTGACACCAGCCTCGGTTATAGTCATGTCCGTGGGGGCTACTATCGCTGTCGACGCGATCGCGCATTTTGCCGCCTTGCCATTTGAGTGTGCTTCAAGAAGAGCCGGCTCTTTGAACACAGGAATGTTAAATGCTGGGCGGTGGCAGAACGATTTGGTCAGATCTCACCACTTCCTGCTTCGAGTGTTGCTTCAAAAGACCTTAACGTCATACAGACTCTTGGACCTGGAAACTGTACTAAACGTGTGTTGGAAGGATGATCCGCAGCAGTGGCAGAATAACTTACATCTCACTGCTTACCTCTTTGAGTACTGCTTCCAAAGAGACCAACATCCTACCGACTCGTGGACCTGAAAACTGTACTAAACGCGTGTTGGAAGGATGAATTGACCGCCAGTATCACCACCTGCGCGGCAGAACGCTCGAGACCTCGCAACACCGACGCCCCATTTTTGCGGTGAACAGCCCCAGGAAAGTCAAATGCAAAACTGTTCAGTTTAGGCGGTGGCAGAAAGGCTGTTAAAGCGGCAGCAACGCAGCGAGCAACCATGTCCTTGTCATTCCACGGCAGGACGTTCGCAATCCTGCAACACTGATATCGAGAAAAAAAAGTGCCAGAACAGCTGCGCTATGAGCTTGCTATCGTTACAATTGATGAAGACTTTGAACTTTAAGCATTAGCTCCATTCGTGTCGAAGTTCTGATCTCAATATTTGGCACGGAATGTATAGAAACCTCGGGACATCAACAGTGTGCTTACAAAAGTCCTGCCTTTCTTAGATCAGAGTCTACCCAGTTCTTTATCTCGACGTCGATCACTTCTCCATAGTGAGATGTTTCTACACCGTCTCTGCTCTCTCTTCTATTTGAGGACCCGCTCTATCAAATATACTAAATAAACCGTGGACTATCACTGCCACTGCTCACAGATCTAGGGCGCTTGACGCGTGGAAGCTCTTCGCCCAGGCTTGAATACAGCAGCGCGTAGTCACTTCTGCGCCGTTTGAGGCCAGAGGCGGCACTGTCGCTACTGGCCGAGCTCTGGTCGTCACTCAGTGAGGGCATACGAGCCATTCTACTAGGACCTTCGCCAGGATCATCGTTCGGCTTCTCATCCACTGACATCGGACTTCCCTGCGACAAGTTGCGAGGATCGCCCTCCAGCTCCCGCCTGGCCATCTCCATGAAGTACTCCCTCCACTCTTTCGCAAAGTCCCTAGCGTTCCGTACCGCCGCCACAGCCTTCCGGAACTGTCCCACTCCACGATCCAAGCGACTCCGATAGAGGTCCGTCAGCTGATAATCCGCCTCTCTGGATCCATCCTCGGCCTCGATCATATGCGCCGCGTAGATCCTGACCGACGATTCGGACACCACCACGACAATGGAATACGCGACCTCGTCCAGCCACGCCTTGTCCGCGCGCGCGGTGTGGAAGCGCAGCTTGTGCACCGCGCGCGCGCCCAGGGACCCGTAGTGCATCGCCTGCAGCTCGGCGGCGGCGGCATGGTCCTCGTCGTCGATCTGCAGCTGCACGAAGAAGTTGGGCACCACGCCGTACGCGTCCGTCGCCGGCAGGATGTAGCTCTTCAGGTCGTTGGCGAGGCGGCCGCCCTCGTCCAGGGCGTAGAAGTCGCCGCAGTCGAAGTAGCTCGGCTGCGCCAGGAACATCCCCTCCACCAGCGGGTCCAGGCCGGTGATCGGCTCGCTCTCGTAGGTGAGGACCGTCTCGGACGCCGCGCCCAGCAGAATGTCGAGCGCGTCGTTGAACTTGGCGCGCTGCTTCTTGAAATTCCGGCACGCCTTGAGCCAGACCTTCTGGTCGTTGGGGTCCAGTCGTTTCACGGATTCGCGAGGTTTCCGGAGTCGTTCCCGCAGGGTGACGATGTTGCGCGGGAGGTTCTGGCTGGATGAGCGGGCCGCGACGCCGTGCAGCTTGAGGAAGTTGCGGCAGTTGCCGTCGTAGAGGGAGGCCGAGTTGCAGGCTTCCGCCGAGGCGGACCAGCCGAACTATAGCATCGTTCCCGTTAGCATATCGGGGTTTGTTTGGGTCTGCAGTGGGTGAGAAAGGACTCAATGTACACTACCAATGCCAGATAAATCTGGCCCACCACCCTTGGCAAACTCCTTCAGGCTGCGTAACTTGTGCGGTAGCCGCAGTCTTCTGCGACTTGCCTTGTTTTCCTTCGCCTTCCTCTCTTTCTGTTCTTGCTCCGCTTCTTCGGCAATGGCCTTCTCGCGTTTGCGGAACTCTATGATGGCCCGGTGGCTCAGGTAGATGTAGGGAAGATCGGCCCAGTACTTGGGGTCGATTTCGTACATCTCGTCGAAGCTGTCCGAGTACACAGCAGGCGTGGAACTGCCTGTGCTCTGTTCGATAATGCAAGGCATTCGGTCTTTGCCCGCGGTGCCGAAGTGCGCTTCGTCTATGACTTTGAGTATGAAGCTTCCTATGTTGAAGAACGTGCGAAGGATACCGTATGGTTGTAGCATGGAGATGAGTGCTATGAATTGTTGTTTTGTTAAAGATTGAGAGATCGCTTTACATGATTGATTTTCTAATGCTTTTGTTTGAACAGAAGACATAATCTCAAGCTAATGCCCCTTGCGTACTTGCATTATGGTTAGAACCTATCTGCAACATAAGGAGGATGAACAAAGAGTAGATGTATCAGATTGTGTGCAGCGGAGGAGGACAAAGACACTGTTGCTTTGTGAAAGAAGTCACCCTTTAACAGAGCCCTCAGGGGTATAACAATGCTACTTTGGTCACTAGAGAAGCACAACCGCGACAGCTCCTTTCATCGAGTGGTTGTAATTATAGCCAAATTGAACAAAGCGTGATACCCACTGCACCTCCAGCGCAGCATCCGCGACAGCTCAAAGCCCATGACCACCCAAAATGACTCTACTCGGAATCAACCAACGCAACAAAGAACGCTCCCACCTAATCCACAACAACCTCCACTTCACTCTCATTTCTCATCATCACCATGTCCACCATATTCCCAACATACTATACAGAAGATCCTCATGCCGACCGAGCAACTCGTAAGCCCTCCACCCAGAGCTACCCTGCCAATGCAAAACCAGCGATAGCAACAGCACACTAACCAACCACCCCGCCAGAACATCACCGTCGCAGACCGCTTCAAACTCCTCAACTACCTAGGAGGAGGCGGCTACGGCGAAGTCTTCCTCGGTACGGTCATCCATCCTAACCCCTCTCCCTCACCCCAACACTAACACCCCAGCAGCCCAAGACCTCCAAACCAAAACAACCGTCGCCCTTAAACTCGAACATCTCAGCACGCGCGACACCCTGGAACAAGAACACACGATCTACACGGCGATCAAAGGCCCCGGGATCCCGAAGGTCTACTTCTACCACCCGGCCATCGACGACTACCGCTTGCTGGCCATCGAACTCCTCGGCCCCACCCTCGAGGATCTCTTCAACTACTGCCACCGCGAGTTCTCCCTCAAGACGGTGCTGATGATCGCGGACCAGCTGCTGCGGCGCATGCAGCACATCCACGCCGCCGGGTACATCCACCAGGACATCAAGCCCGAGAACCTGCTGATGGGGCGCGGCCGGAAGGGCCACACGCTGTACATCAACGACTTCGGACTGGCGCGGAAGAAGTTCGTGAGCCGGCGCAACGTCAAGTGGTATCGCGGGAAGTTGGAGAAGGATGTCGTCGGCACGGTGTTTTATGCGAGCCGCGCGGCGCATTCGAGGCATTGTAAGTTTTCTTCCCTCCTTTGCTTGGTGGCTTTTGAGGTTGATGTGAGAGGGGTTGAGGGGGTAACGGTTTTCGGTTTGAGTTGATGGGGTCGGGGCTAACGTGAGTGATGGCTGCAGATCAAACCTACCGCGACGATATGGAATGTGTCGGGTACACGCTCGTCGAGTTCCTGAAGGGCGAGCTCCCCTGGGATTATCTGGGCCATTCGAAGCATCGGCCCATCGGGGAGGCGAAGAGCCGGATCACGGCCCAGGAGCTGTGTCGTGGCTTGCCGGTGGAGTTTGAGTGGTATTTTCACCATGTGAATGGGCTGCGGTACAATGAGCTGCCGGACTATGAGTTGTTGCGGGGCTGGTTTCGGAAGTTGTTTGCAAGGCGGAGGTACGAGTGGGATAATGTGTTTGATTGGACGGAGAAGAGGTTTTATGAGTTGAGGACGGAGCATGAGGGTAAGGAGGAAGAGGAGGAGGAGGAGGAGGAGGTGGAGGAGGAGGAGAAGGATGATGAAGATGATGACGATTATGTAGATTGATTCATGGGTGTTATTGTGTGAAGTACGCTTGTATGTACAGTATATGTCAGCGATTTGAAGCCTCAGAGGTAAGGTGTATGAAACGTGTTCTTGGTTTTCCTGGTGGTTGGAAACTGACTGAATTATCAATATGGGTATTTTGATAAACGCGTTGCATCATGTGGCTGGATTACTCGGCTATGCCGACAGTGTTTGTATACCATGCCTCGTTAAGCATGCATTATTACGGCTGGAACATCATAGCTGGCCTTTTGAAGAGACAAGAAACAAGAAAGTTGTTGGGTTCGACGTATCAAGGCATGGAATGTACAAGGGTACTGCGGATACGAGTCCCAGCAAGTCATCAAGCGCCATGCGAGATAAGATTTGACTGACATGTAAGGAGTAAACAACCTTCATTCGCACGCGCTGGCACAGTCCTGGCCGGCCGGCAGGTCGCGGTCTTGAAATTGAAGAATGTTGAACTGGAGTGAGGACCGATGCGCAGACGAACCAGTCGAAATGTCAACCTGGATACACCGGGGTCCAACATCTGACATATCCCTGACACAGAATAGAGTAGTTATTTTCCAGTGTACAGGGCAATGTCCTCGCCCACCCCTAATCTGGCATGCATGAGATGCATCATATGCGGGACCTTGCAGCATATCATGCAAGGTTCCCGACTGCTGGGATTACCCCTTTTTCCATGTCGATCGTAGTCGTATATCCTACCTGCAGAGCTCACCCCGACACGACTAAACAAAGTTGTCCTTCCTCAATACAGGCACATGAACACCTCGATGTCTAGCGGCATAGGCCCGGCGCCATCGAATGATACCTGCTTCTCAGGGCAGCAAGCGGCCTGGCTCGCCTCTTCACCCACCTGCAATGATGGCTTTTACTGTGCGATGCCCTATACTACAGCCTGATTCAGTTTGGTGGCAAACCAAAGCTCACGATTCGTGTACAGGCCAATCGAGCGAGGGCGACCTCCCACCCGAGCATTGCACCCCGACTTTCGACTGCCACATCAAACGACTCCAAGAAGGGTGGAATTTCTGCGACAAGCCACAGGGCACGCTCGAGCCCGTGATATGCCCCGAGGGCAATTACTGCGCGCCCGGGGGAGCGCCGCCCGTGCCTTGTCCGCAGGGCTCCTTCTGCCCTGTGGGGACAGCCAACCCCATCAAGTGCAGGGCCCTATCCCTTTGTCCGGAAGGAAGCTCACATCAGCGTGATCTGGTGGGTATACTCTTGTGTATTCTGCTGGACATCGTGGTGGTTCTGATCTGGATGCGGCGCTTCTCTCTGTCATCCGACTTGACGAGACTATGGTCGTGGTCGAGGCTCTCAAATGTGAATGGGCGCGGAGACAAAGTAGGTATAGTTGAGAAGCCGCAGGAGGAAAGGGGAGAAGAGGAGCAAGGTGTGCCGCGACTGTCGAGCTTTCCCTTTCTGTCAGTGGACGATACTGCAGCGCGGCCGCTGGAAATTACCTTTGCGGATTTGAGCTTCAGAATCCGAGGCAGACCGACTGACATTCTAGCTGGTCTGCATGGATCATGCAAAGCTGGCTCGATTCTGGGGGTCATGGGCCCCTCTGGTTCAGGGAAATGTAGGTTGCGCAGAAGCGATGGATTTGATTGCTCGTGGGTGTTTTCGAGGCTAAGTGTTTCTTCGTAGCGAGTTTTGTCAACATTTTGGGCGGAAAGAATAAGGCTAGCACTGGCGAGATCTGTCTCAACGGTTATAGGATGAAGCCGGCAGAGTATGTGCAGATACCATGACCTTTACTTCTTCTGTCTCTTGGAACTAATTGCCGTTTGACAGGCTGCGAGCGCTGATGGGATTTGTCCCTCAAGATGATCTTGTTCTTCCTGAGCTGACCGTGCGAGAGAACCTTCTTCACTCGGCACGCGTCATGCTGGGCGGGCAGCTGGGCGACCATGAAATTCAAGACTATGTTGAATCATTGATTGCCTGTCTCGGACTTGCGAAGGTGCAGGATCAAATGGTGGGTAGTGTCGCACAACGAGGATTGTCTGGGGGAGAATGCAAACGGGTGAGCATCGGCCTTGAACTCGCCGCCGCTCCCAAGGTGTTGATCCTCGACGAACCGA